CCCCCCCCCCCCCCCAAAAAAAAATGTACTGTATGTTTACTATCACTTAGAAATTGTACTATTGCTGTGTTCACAGCTAGATTTTCTCTGGAAAAGTTAAAAATATTTTGTTACAGAGAAACCTGATTTCAGTCATAAAGGCCATGCTGCAGCTGCAAAGTAACTGGACAAAAAACTGCAAGGGAGGGGCATCTTGGCACAGTTCAGGCAGCTAAAAGTGCATTAACTGTGTGAAGGCAGTGAGGCAGATGCGGTAAGAAACAGTCTTAGCCCAGATTCCCCAGCAAGACGGCGAGTAAATGTTTCTGTCTCAGGGAGAACTGGAAAGGGGCCAAGCCACTTATCAAAAAGGGGAGTTAGATTTCTATTGTGAATCAAATAAACTATTTGAATGTATTTCTCTTATCAAATTAATACAAATAATGTTTGTGCCTTCACACAAACAAGAACATGAAAAAAAAGGATTTTTGTTAGTCAACAAAATGTTCCAATTAGGTATTTCTGTGACAGTTTGCCTCCGTGCATTACGCCTGTACAGAAATTTAGTGTAAGTGCTCTTATAACTCTCTGCACCCATTTGTCTTTCCTCATTCATTATCACTCTCTCCCTATTTGTAATTCATGGCAGAACAAAGCCACAGTTCTAATTGATAGGCTTAGGGCCCAACCCCATTATATATCTCCACCTGATTAGGGCAAAGCAGACCTCCACATGCTTTCTCCAGACATTAAGTGCTTACAGATTAGCATAGAAAACCTCCCACATTTGTTTTGACTTAAGATGTAAAACATTTCAGATTTATTTATTGAGCAATAAAACTCAAACTGTATAATAATAACACAAATACTATTAAAGCACAATCTGATATGCAGATGGGAAAAGTGTTTGATAATTTACTGATCTAGTTCCAATGTTTACACTTTATCTATGAATGGTTTGCATGTTCCCATTTATGTTTCTGACACCAAAAAGCTTCCTGTTTTCAATTATCCACTGAACCAAATGTTGAATGAATGTCTGAAATCAGAATATTTGGTAATTTTTAGATTATATTTATAGGGCATTATAAATATATTTTCTTACTGAACCTTTACTTAGAAACAGGTAGTTTCACTGAGATATGAGAACTCATTTTCAAGAAAGAGGTTTAGAATAAAAAAATATGACAGACAAGTACTTTGAACAGATACAATGTAATAAAATCAAAGTGCCAAGTAGAACAGGGCAAATACTAAAAACAAGAACAAATTTATACAGATTTGTGTCCTTAAAAAATCTTTTGAAATCTCCCCCAAAAATCAAAGTGACAACCCCAAATCCAGCTGCCAGGTGTCAGAAGCAGAGTAAAAGAAGGCCTTTTGACCAAGTTCAGTCCATACCAAAAGATTGCTGCTGGTAATGAAGGCCTGGGAATGCACAGTGTAGCTGCACTTGCATTGGGACGTGGGAGGAGCTATACGAAGGTAGCAGACCAAGGATTAGATATGAATATGCACCAATGCTGTTAGGAGTGCGCGGGGAACCCAGATGATATGAGACCCAGAACGA